TCAGATTTTATTTTTAATTTGCTGGGCAATTTCATTCTTTCAATAGATATCTCCAATGAGAAAGTCTTTCCTTTTTATGGCTTCTAGGTCCTCTATTAGTTAGTGTGCATACAATTTTCATTTTCTATATCATTCTCATTCTCATTGCTGTCTTCATCACTCTCTAATGGGACGCCTGTGGCAGCTGAAGCACCTTGTTTAGTTTCCCGGTCAAGAGGGAAAAACCCAGTTCCACTGATAGTGTCCTGTCTCTGGTAGAAGAGCACATATGCTGCTTTGGACTGTCAAACAAGAAAAAACAAACTGTTACTACCTTAATGATCAAAGGCAAATCTTTTGCTTTTTGGGAGAAGTTCTCCCATCAACATAGCGTTGTCTCCATGGGGGTTAGGTCATAATAACTATGTCACGTGGGGTGTGGATTTTTCAAACCCCCGAGCAATGTAGTTATACCAATACAGGTCTGCAGTGTAGACCTGGCCTGAGTTAGTTTCCCAGACCTGAAGAGGAGCTCTGTGTAAACCTGAAAGCTTGTGTCTCTCACCAGCAAAAGTTGGTTCAATAAAAGATATTACCTCACCCACCTTGTGTCTCTAACATTGAGTTTGCTACCTTTATTATGAGTGTGTAATGGTTTTATGTTGGGAGTGTTGGATTTTCTAGGAAACAAGATTAATTCACAGCTCAGTACATTTTTTTTGAGTGGGTAGGGGAGGAAATTTGAATAAGTTTATAGTTAACTTAAATTCCACCCCCACAAAGAAGCCATATTTATCAGTATAAACATATGCCCTATATCACTGCAGTTTGCTCTTACAAACTACTGTAAGAGTGACAGATTACCCACCTAGAGAGTATACAACAACAAACAAAGAATCAAAGTTCCCCCATTAAATCTACATTAAATCAAGTACAACAAATGAAGAATTATCAAGCAAGACAGAAATGAATGGCATGCAAAAATAAGCCCTTTAACATATTAAAATGACCCCTCTGCACACATGAGTGTCGATTCTCTCCCATCCTGTGTTGTTTTGGTCAAGAAGTAATGGGATTTTAACTAAGAAAATTTAGCACCTAAGTCACTTAACATTGCCAATTTGGAACACCTTCAACGTTTGCATAAGGAACCTAGAATTTAGCAGTTGGAGGTCACAATACTATATAATATATATATGATGAGTTGCACGGATAGACCATTGAAATTTCTAGCACTAAATCCTAATTGCTATGACTCAAATAAACAAGGACAAGATTAATGGAACTCAAGAAACCTATCTATGGAGAAAGCACCAGAGGAAATGTCTAATCCAATTTATAGCAACTCCAGGGATTTTACCATATTATTGTCAGATTATTTTAAGAAATGTTCAGTGTTGTCAAAACTGACACCCTTACTTTAATGGCATCAGTCACACTGAAAAACAACTTGAAGAAATCAGACAAATACATTTGGCAAGTATTGTTTAGCTCTGTTGTCTAGTAATGAATGTGTGCACTTTAAGGGCTCTCTTTCTCAGAGCGGCTCTTTCCACATGGATGCTATAGTAAATAATCATGTATTTGATATCACAGTCTGTTGATAGGAAAATGACTGGTGTCGTAAGTGTAACATTATGTCTACACTTGTAGGTGTAAATGGGATAAAGAAAACAATCCTAGTGAAACAAAAACGCTGCATGTTAATGGAAAAAGTTTTTAAAGTACAGTAAATGTATATAATGTATAAATTAAGGCAGTCAAGCGATTCAAAAAACTTAATCATGATTAATCGCGCTGTTAAACAATAGAATACCATTTATTTAAAATATTTTTGGATGTTTTCCACATATTTAAATATATTGATTTCAATTTCAAAACAGAATGCAAAGTGTATAGTGCTCACTTTATATTTATTTTTGATTATAAATATTTGCACTGTAAAAATAAAAGAAATAGTATTTTTCAATTCACTTAATACAAGTACTGTAGTGCAATCTCCATCATGAAAGTTGAATTTACAAATGTATAATTATTTTTTGCGCATAACTGGATTCAAAAACAAAACAATGTCAAACTTTAGAGCCTACAAGTCCACTCAGTCCTACTTGTTCGGCCAATCGCTCAGACAAGTTTGTTTACATGTGCAGGAGATATTGCTGCCTGCTTCTTGTTTACAATGTCACCTGAAAGTGAGAACAGGAGTTTGCATGGCACTGTTGTAGCCAGCATCGCAAGATATTTACGTTCCAGATGCGCTAAAGATTTGTATGTCTCTTTATGTTTCAGCCACCATTACAGAAGACATGCGCCCAACCTGATGATGGGTTCTGCTTGATAACAATCCAAAGCAGTGTAGACCGACGCATGTTCATTTCCATCTTCTGAGTCAGATGCCACTAGCAGAAGGTTGATTTTCTTTTTTAGTGGTTTGGGTTCTGTAGTTTCTGCAGAGTGTTGCTCTTTTAAGACTTCTGAAATCTCTCAGATTTTGGAAGGCACTTCAGATTCTTAAACCTTGGACCGAGTGCTGTAGCTATTTTTAGAAATCTCACATGGGTACCTTCTTTGCGTTTTGTCAAATCTGCAGTGAAAGTATTCTTAAAACGAACAACATGCTCAGTCATCATCCGAGACTGCTATAACATGAAATATATGGCAGAATGCGGGTAAAACAGAGCAGGAGACATACAATTCTCCCCCAAGGAGTTCAGTCACAAATATAATTAACACATTATTTTTTAATGAGCATCATCAGCATGGAAACGTCCTCTGGAACGGTGGCCGAAGCACGAAGAGGCATACAAATGTTCAGCATATCTGGAACGTAAATATCTTGCAATGTCGGCTACAAAAGTGCCATGGGAACACCTGTTCTCACTTTCAGGTGACATTGTAAACAAGAGGCGGGCAGCATTATCTCCGGCAAATGTAAACAAACTTGTTTCGCTTAGCGACTGGCTGAACAAGAAGTAGGACTGAGTGGACTTGTAAGCTCTACAGCAGGGGTTCTCAAACTTCATTGCACCGTGACCCCCTTCTAACAACAAAAATTACTACACGACCCCAGGAGTGGGACTGAAGCCTGAGTCCAAGGGCTTCAGCCCCAGGCATTGGGCTTTAGCCCAGGCAGTGGGTCTTGGGCTTCAGCTTGGCCCCAGGCTTTGGCTTCCGCACTGGGCCCCAGAAAATCTAAGCCAGCCTTGACCACCCCATTAAAATGAGGTCCCAACCCACTTTGGGGTCGCGAGCCACAGTTTGAGAACTGCTGCGCTAAAGTTTTACATTGTTTTGTTTTGAGTGCAGTTATGTAACAAAAAAACCCAACATTTATAAGTTGCACTTTCACAACAACGAGATTGCACTACAGTACTTGTATGAGGTGAATTGCAAAATACTATTTCTTTAGTTTATCATTTTTACAGTGCAAATATTTGTAATAAAATATAATATAAAGTGAGCACTGTACACTTTATATTCTGTGTTGTAATTGAAATCAATATATTTGAAAATGTATAAAATATTTTTGGAGGTTTTTCTAAATTTCTATTGGTATTCTATTGTTTAGCAGCGCGATTAAAACTCAAAAAAATTAATTGCATGCGTTAACTGAGATTAATCGACAGCCCTAGCATAAATGCAACATAATATCTGAACATTTTTCAAAATCCCTTTAAGGTTTCAATGGTGTTTCCTCCCACCCCCGCGTTAATTTATATTAGCCACATGTCCTTGTTTTCCTTCTTTGCAATTGCTTTCTCACAAGAGCGGTGAGCTTGCTAGTTTGTTTGGTTTTTTTAAAGTAGAATTTAATAAACAGGGCAAAGTTTGCTGAGCAAGAGTTTGAACCATTACCTTAAGATAGGTAGATAGCTGTTGCTACGTTTAAAGTATAATAAACATGCAAACAGTCCTCAAACTTCTGCTGAAATCTGCTGGTTTTTGGAATGTAAACAGAAACTGTTGTGTGTTTGCACTGTCCCTTAAACAAATCAAAAGGCTGCCAAAATTAAACTATTAACTACAAATTAGTTTTCAGGTTTTGAAGATTTACGCTTTTTTCCTCCCAGATAAGAAACAGTAGCCGTGATTTCAGAAAAACAAGGATACTTGCCACTATTTGGTCCTCAGATGCAGTTGATACACTACTGTCATCAAAGTAGTACCATTTTCCATCATCTTTATTTTTTGCAAAAGCAGTATCTAGGACCCAAAAGAAGCATGTTAACTAAGAACTTTGGCAACTGAGCAAAATAAATCTATAAAGAATTCAAGCTGGTCCTCATCAAACATATGACTTTTGAATCTTATTATAGATAATATGGTATAAACTTATTAACAGTAGCCATATCATAGCTATAAGATTCATACTTCCAACCAGCCTTTTTCTTTTTCATTATGTTAACCCAAGTATTCCAGGTTTAGGTATTTTTTCACTCTATTAACAGCAAGAAAAGCATATGCCAATTTAGCTTTCACCTTTTTAAAAGAGTGTTTAAAGGAAAGGGCAGTCAGCCAGAATAAAGGTTCTTAGTGGCTTTTACCCAACTCTTCATTCCTCTCCTCCCTTTGAATGAGAGGCATAACTGCATATAGAATCTCAGACCAGGAAGGCAAAGTGAGTTGATATTACAGCACTGGAGTGCTTTTTGGAGAATAAGTATGTCCCTTCCATGACAGACTCAGCCAACACAAAGTACAAAAGAACTTAACATTATTCTTGAAAGCGCATCTGAAATAGATATTTGTATTCAACTACTGTATGCTTTTCAAGTAATAGAATTAAATGACATGGGTATTTTTTAAATTTTTTTTTTTTTGCCCTTTGGCCATTTTTTTTTAACAACGCAGCTGATTAAGAAGAGTCAGTTTTAGTGCTAATAAACAGTCAAAATGAAACAGAACAGAAAGTTAATATGTAAAATAATGGTGTTCAAAATTAACTTACAATGCCCTCCTCCCATTCCTCCATAGTGGTTGGACACAGCAATCAAATTATAGCGGCAAGGCCCTGCATTTGGATTAATAAGGAACTCTGACATATCCAAGTCACTGTTTAAAGAAAAGCTCACATTATGTTAATGTTTTTTTTTCCAACTGTTGCTTAACATTTGAGTGTTGTCTTCAGGCCCTTTTATTTTAAAACATATCCTACTGGAGCCAAACAGTGGCACAAAGCCTCATATATAGGAAAACACAACTGACACAACACTGGAAATGTTGGGAGTGCACACGTTCTCTCTTCTGATCTAACACAACAGGTATGGGATCAGAGGTTGTACATACACATCCTTCTCGATTCTCAAATTTGCATAAAAAGAATTTAAACATAAGTTAGCTTCAAACAAACACTTATCCTGGCTTCCACTTTGTTCAACTGCCTGTATACGGTATCTTAACATATATTAACCTGTAGCTGTCAAAGTCAAATATCTCCTTCCAGAGTCCTTTGCCAATGCCACTCAGTGAATTATTTTTCACACCTATCTGAATATTTTACTTGTTTCGTGTTACTCAGTCCTCCCTCCCACAGCCTACATTTTCTACGTCTTCTGCTCAAGAGTATTGCTTTTTCCCCATTAGTGCTGACTTGATCTGTAAATTTGAACTAATATATTTTGCAAATTAAGCATGGATCCATTGAATATAAATGTTAATTAAAAGATGAATTTAATTTAATCTCAAAAGGTTAGGCATGTTACAAATGTGAAAGCTAACATTTAAATATTTCAATTCAAAAGTTTTTCTTACTTTATTGGAAAATCAACCAGTGTATCCAGCTTGTCCCTCATATATCTACTGTAAGAAAAGCGCTTTAGATGTACTACCAGTACTGGGGGCAGTGACCACAAATCTAACTTTTTGGTTGCTTGCTGATGTTCTTTACAGTTTGGACAATACCTAAAAGAAAGACAGTCATTTTAGCATTCATAAAGAGTGCAGGCACTAAAGTGTATCACCAACAAGAAAGATATACCAGGTTGGGAGCTGAATGTGTAAAGGCTTACACACATAAAACCAAACATTTACCTTCAGTGCACTGTTTCATGGCCTGAACCTGAAAGATAGCTCTCTTGAAATTAATGTGAGCTGTGGGTGCTCAGCCCCTTCCAGGGATCAAGACTTATTTTAAATATTTGAAATATAAATGTAAAGGAAAAAAGTTAAATTGCAAAGATACTATATAATATGCCTCAGTGCTAGTCTTTATAGATTTTTTTTTTAAAGCAGAAAAACTGAATTTAACCTTCTGAACTCAAAAGAAGCTGAAGGAATATGGAATATTCAGCAAGTTATGAGCATCTGGAAAGAAAGAGGTTCCTTACAAGTAACTGTGGTTCTTCAAGTATCACTTTTCACATCCACACGTGTGGGATATGCTCCCACCCCACTGCCATTGAACTTAGAGCATTCGAGAAATGCAGTGACCACTGCAACCACAAAAGTTCCCACTAACAGCAGTGAACATTTGTAACAGAGATAAGAGGCTGTGCGATTCCTCCTCCTGAATCTTTGAGAGAATACATTTCCAAGGAAGTAGGGAAGGTGGGCAGGTAAGAATCATGAAAAATAATCTTTTCTTTGAAGCGGCTTCTGCATATTTCCACTTGGGCGAATGTAAGTAAAAGCACAACTTCTAGGAAGGCAGGCTGAGTTCTAATTAGAAAGGACTGCAGAACTGCCCTCCCAAAGCAAACATCATATCAAGATGACAAGTTAAGAGAATGGTGCTGCATAAAGAAAACTCCAGGTAGAATATAGTCTTGAATATTTCTATGATGGAATCCTTGCTGAGGCAGGTCAATGATGTTGCTTTAGCCCTACAAGCCTGAGCTCCAAGACTACCAGGTGCTGACATCAAAGCCAAAGGGCAATTTTATTTTTAATTTAGATTTCTATGAAATGTTTAAAAAACGCTCTGGGTGCCTTTGATATACATTAAAAACACAATCTAGCTTAAACAAAAACAAGTGCACCAACTTCCCAGCCAAAAGAGGGAAAGAGAAAAAAACCCACAATCAGCATACGTGCATTTTGATAGGCTCTAAGTGGAAATCGCATTCTTCTTACACTACTTTCCAAAAGATACAAAAAAAAAGTTCAGGTAACTTTAATTTTATCCAGTTAAAAACCTCAAAGCCCTCTTAATGGATATTAGAAAAAACTATTTCACTAAGAGGGTGGTGAAGCACCGGAATGGGTCACCTAGGGAGGTGGTGGAATCTCCTTCCTTAGAGGTTTTTAAGGCCCGGCTTGACAAAGCCCTGGCTGGGATGATTTAGTTGGGGATTGGTCCTGCTTTGAGCAGGGGGTTGGACTAGATGACCTCCTGAGGTCCCTTCCAACCCTGATATTCTATGATTCTAACATTAAGGGTGTGGGCATCTACCTTTCCCTGTTGAGAATGAAATTTTGGAAAGAAATCCAGGATATTACATGGTCTGGTTTAGATGGAACCTGTCACTTTTTTTTTTTTTTTTAAGATAAGTATCTTGGATGAACACGCCTGATTATGACAACTTTGTGCCTTTGGAATATGGCAAAGGGAGGATCAGCCATCAAAGCCTACAAGTCACTCACCTTTCTTGAAGTTGTAATTTTGATTAAGAAAGCTGTCGTTAGTGACTAATGGAATAAAGTGGACTCTCCCAAAGTTTCAAAGGGCACAGTCATTAACTATGTCAAGCGTTAAGTTGACATCTCCCATCAGGACATGTTCTCCATGTAGTGGGATGTTTGAAGACTTTACAATAGTCAATGGGAGTGTGATATGTTGAGATGGTAGACAAATCACTTTTGATTAGATGAAGAGGCAAAGAAACTTCAGTTATATTAAACAATCCATAATACATTAAGTAGAGCACAGCATGGAGATGGGCTCTAATCTGCTGCCACAGCAAAAACCTTTTCCATTTCTAGGTGTAACATTTCAGTGCGATTTTTTTCCTCGACTGCTACAAGATACTCTGAACCCTTTGCAGAGGTCAGTGTCCCATGACCTAAGATGCAAGATTAAGTGACTCCAAAATGGGATGGTCTTGGCTAAGGATATCTGATGATTAATCCAGGAGATTCATGTACCAGTACTTCATGAGACCTGCCCTGACATCACTGGCCAGTTTGTGTTTATGTGGAAGCACAAACAAAACACTAGAAGATCAGTCAAGACTATCCCAGCACTTAGATTCAGATAATGCAGCCCTGACTCCTTGTTGTCAGAGCAGGTCTGAAACTGGACTCAGAGATTTCTTTCAACTTTAAACCAGATGAAACTGAGGATCACAGCACCAAAAGCTTCTTTCCCCTCATTTTGGACTGCTTCAAATCCAATGAAAATCTATTCTTGTCCCTGCACGGATCCAGGACAAGTCCCGATCAAAGGACAGATCCCAGGGTCTGATGTGTAAGGCCGCCACTGTGAGAAAGTCCTAAAATAGAGAGTGCCTGTCCTCCTTAGTTTGAGCTGTAAAGGCCTTACATGCTGAGCAACAAACTGGAAAATAGCCTTACGTGCGGCAGGTCAGGCAGCAATTATGTATATTTGATTCCAGGAAGGTGGAGGGGCGTCAAATAGACTGCTTAAAAATGTTTTTTTCCCCCCTCTCGTCTGCGTCTTCTGAATTGGACAGGATGCCCTGGAACAGAGTCTGCCTGGGATTCAAACTGCACAATGATCTAGAAACTCTACCTGAACACAATCCAAACTACAACAACAAGCTAACAGGAGATTTTAGGTTAAAAAAAAATAAGGAAGGTTCTCTGGTTACAGAGTGAAGCTAGCTGCAGAAAGGAAGGAAGGAAGGAATTAGGTGGCCACCTGCAGAGCCTCTTGAACATCTGGTGCTGTGAAGAGGCTCTCATGAGGTTCCAATGGGCACCGCTTTCTAAAACATCCCCAAAGCTCATTGGTACTGAGGGAACATCTCACAATTGAGAATATTCAGATGTCCCCTTATAGAAGAACAGCAGTTTATAATATATACGTTGGTTTGAAAATTCAACAATACTACACAGCTGGCACATTTAAAAAGTCCAACTGGTCTGAAATATTCTACCAGTTGCAGAGACATCACTAGAACAAATAGAATCTCTCACGCTAATGAAATTTTTAAGTGAACAAAGCTTTTCATATATAAATATAAACACACAGTAAGTGTTTGTGTAGAAAAGATTTCATATATGACAAACTTTTCAATCTCAGCTAGAACCATACTCATTCTAATCACTTCACTACAAATCCGTACAGAAGTGGTTCGTAATGCAGACGAGCTCCCCTCCTATTCATGCTTGCATGGGCTGTATCCCTTCCCATATGCAATCATATAACATACCAGTAGCAGTTACAGCAATTGCTTACATAGTAAAGAAAATATTTAATGCATCTTTAGCTGTGTTTTCATGCAGTTTAGATGGAAATAAGGACTGCAAGAACAACATGACCAATCTGCAGCTCACCAGCAAGTGCTCCATGGACCACAGTTTGAAACACACTGTCTACAGAACTAGTTCAGCACATCAAGTTTCATTTTTGCTCTTACCATGGATCTTCAGCACCTAGTTTCTCCTTTGTTGTAAATAGTTCAATGCAATCTTTTAATTTCACAAAGGGCTTTTTTGGAGGTTTATATTCCACACTTTCATGTTTTTCAAAATCCTAAAGAGAAGTATTTCTTGAGTTAAGAGAACAAATGAAACAAAACTCATTTTAGTGATATCGTCTTACTATGAACAGTACCTACAAGCTCCTAAATATGGAAAACTACTCAGAATGTGTTCAAATGTAATTAAGTTTCACAACTTTTAGATTTATTTTTCAAAATTAGTAAGCCTCAGATCACCGAAATTGGTAGATATAAGGTTGTTTTTTTCTTAGGTTTCTTTTATGGTAAAGTATTTAGTTTATTACAAAATGCACTATATCTCTCTACTCTTCCTTTGAAATATTTCTAGAAATCTACACTTAACATAAATAGTGCATTAAACCATATATCTGCATGATAAAAGTTTAGTAATTGCTGAAAAAGGAGTGCAAAATAAATGGCTTACCTCTGCTGCATTATCATCAAAGTATCTTTTTTTCATTTCAGGATCCCAATCCAAAGCAAGAAAAGATCTTTCTAAGAAGGAAAACACATGTTTCCCTCAAAAATACATTATCTGAAAGTGTATGTTTAATTTGTACCGATTACTAATCAAAATAAACTAAAATAACTGTTGATACAAGTTTAAGAAAATCCAAAATTTGGTTTCATTAAAATGTGTGAAAGTTATGCATTTCTAAAAATCAACAGCTTGCAATGTCAAGCTGAACAATGTTTGTTGGCTCGAACAAGAGATGATACACATATTTTCCTGAAGACAGACTATAAGCACATAGATACATATATGTATGTACTGGGAAAAAAACACGAGTAGCCTACCAACAGAAGGTGCAGCTGTTCAAGGAAAGTGGTACCAGAAACACAAAAAGCATTGTGATCAAATTTAACCAAACCCATCCCCCAGTGACTTACCATCAAGCCTAGGTTGCCTATCATCAAATCTAATATGTCTGGTGTCATCTTTGATATAGTTGATGTCAGTACTGCCTAAATTGTTGAACTGGAATGTAAACAATCGTTTTTTGTGTCCCATGAGTAGTTGACCTTTGCAAGTTTCCTCAGTACACAATCCATTTTCAGAATCATTGTCTCCTCCAACTGAGTCTTCTGATTGGCTGTTTTCATTCTCTGAAGGAAGTTCCTGATCTTGGCTGGATTCGTCATCTTGTTCATCTGTCTCCATTTCACCTAACGAAATAGGACGTAGTTCAACAAATCTGACAATGCATTCCATTTAGGCAGCATTTTAAGGTGCCACATTTTTCCTCTTACTATAAAATTTTGAATTGTTATTGAAACTAGGAGAACCAGCAAGATCTAGACTGAACGGTAAGATGTTTGTTACACTCCACAGGACTTGTGGCTTTTTGATTTTCTGGTAAGTACCTCATATGGTCTCCTTCCACATATACCAGAGTTGAAGACAGTTTCTTACAAATTGGAAAGGACCCATCCTCACTCTACACACAACTTTACATATGTACCGCTGCCATTTTCAATTTCACTTTAATGTTTCCCCATTCAGCCAGTGTTCTCACACACTCCTCTTTTCACTTTCCTCATGCTTTCAGCACATACACTGGAATGTTCAACTAAAATCTCTCTAGATATTTATGACAAAGAAATATTTTCTTCTTTCGAGCCCAGATGTCTGTGAACATGCTAAGAGTCCAACCAGCAAAAGGAAACCTGATACCACATTTTTAAGAGTTTAACTCCTAGCTAACAGGTCACTGCCACTCTAATTCTGATAAGTTCCATGCAATTACTGTCTGTTGAACAAATTGCCTTAAAAGTTAATAGAAGAAAAATAACAGTCCTGCTGAGTTTAGTAAATTTGAAGCCTGAAGTAGCTACACCACTCAAAAGGAAGTTCAAATATCAAGGCTTTTAAGCCTCAAAATTGCCAATTTTAAAACAAATTTGGGGGCTAGTCTGGTGGTCTAGTAGCAATGCGTTATCCTGACACCCAGGGAGTCAAATCTTGCTAAATGAGAACTGGAACTGCTGCAATGAACACTCTTCGCATCAGTTTTTAACACTGCCTTTAGCTTAAGCTTGCCTGCAGCGACACAGACTTAATGTGGTGGCTTTGAGGGGGGTGGTTAGAATAAAGAGGAAAAAGGGAGAATTACAGTAATTGCGGCACAGTCATTAAAGTATGAATCTTACACTGAATGCAAAATATTAAGCAAATGTAACTATTCAAGCCTTACTTGGGGATCCTTCTTCATGTATTCCATTTGGGCCATTACCATTGATACCATGGTCCTTACAGCAGTGTAGGGATCCTTCAGTGTCTTCACTTTCAGTACATGTTTTCACATATCGGCTAAAATAAACAATTGAAAATAATGAGCATTTGTATACCACTGGGTTTTGTTTAAGATGTGTATTTGCTTGTAAAGTATAAGAGAACCGAAAATACAGTAGGTAGTGTAAATGCTCTTACAATGTACAGTATTCCTGCAATGAGTCACAGTTACACTAAATGAATAAAGTTAACTCATATCAATTGCTGCAACAAACTGTTTCTGAAGCACATTTCTTCTTGCTTTTTCTATAGTTATTTTTTTGTGTGTGACCTCCTTTGCTCTATATTAGTTTCTGTTTTATTTAGTATCCCAACCATATTGTCTATATAACTGGTCAGATAAAGAAAAATTTTGTACACCTTGTACAAGTACTATGAGGACATGTCTACAAGAGAAAGTTATACCAGTACAAAGGTAAGGTGTGCATTTAAACTGATATAATTATACCTGAAGAAGAGTTTTGTATAAGCTCAAAAGCTTGTCTCTCTCACTAACAGAAGTTGGTCCAATAAAAGATATTACCTCATCCACCTACCGGTATAACTTCCTGTGTGGAGGTCCCTTTTCCAGAATGAGGGCACGTCGGCGGGTAGCGATTGATCTATCGGGGATCGATTTATCGCGTCTAGTGTAGACGCGATAAAATCGATCCCCGATCGCTCTGCCATCGACTCTGGAACTCCACCGCAGCGAGAGGCGGAAGCGGAGTTGATGGGGGAGCGGCAGCGGTCGACTCACCGCCGTCCTCACAGCCAGGTAAGTCGACCTAAGATACGCAACTTCAGCTACGCTATTCGCGTAGCTGAAGTTAAGTATCTTAAGTCGATTCCCCCCCCGTAGTGTAGATCTAGCCTAAGAGTCTCCACGGGGACAGCTATACCAGGATAGCTATTCTGGTTTAACAGGTGAAACTTTCCCATGTAGACAAGCCCTAACTGACATGATTAAATGCCCCCTCCCCTCACAAACAAACCCAAAACCAAAAAAACCTCTTCCCTCCCAAATATAACCACCCTCCTTCAAACATGACACCAGTTTTGGATGATGTAAATGCCATCAAAAATCAAACTAAAACCAAGTCTAGTTTGGCTCTCAAGAGGTTAAAAACTTGAGTAAAAATATAGTCTTATTTTACAGAAAATAAATATAACTGCCTGTGAAAATCTAATCACAGTTCCCTAACAATGCATATAAAAAGCAATCATCTACAGAACCTGATTATTACTGTTATTTACATTGAATTTTTTTTCAAGTAATATTCTTACCACATTCTCAACAGCAGAAGGTTATACAGTTTATCTTCAGTATTGTTTCTAGGCACTGTTATAAGAAAAGGTTGACCAAACAGCGAAGAACCACTATGGTGGCTGTAACTGGTGTGTCTATACTTTTCCCTTAAACAAACAGGAATTATGACTTGCTCTGTATCCTCTGTTCTGTTGATAGCGATTTCAAATCTTAAAAAATAGAAAAGCAGGTGAGACAGAGGTCATTTAGAAGAATCTGATAGAAAACCAAGACTTCTGTTTATTGCATGTTTCTTCTATGCTATTAATTTATTTACCTGAAACTAAACCCAACTCACACAAATTTATACTTAATATTAGGGCTGTCAAGCAATTAAAAAATTAATCGTGATTAATCATGCAATTAAACAATTAAAACAATAATAGAATATCATTTATTTAAATATTTTTGGACGTTTTCTACATTTTCAAATATACTAATTAAATTACAACACAATACAAAGTGCACAGGGCTCACTTTATACTTATTTTTATTACAAATATTTGCACTGTGTAAAACAAAAGAAATAGTACTTTTCAGTTCACCCAATACAAATACTGTAGTGGAATCTCTATCATGAAAGTTGAACTTGCAAATGTAGAATTATGTACAAAAAAAATTGCATTCAAAAATAAAACAATGGAAAACGTTAAAGCCTATGAGTCTGCTCAATCCTACCTCTTGTTCAGCCAATTGCTAAGACAAACAAGTTTGTTTACATTTGCAGGAGATAATGCTGCCCACTTCTTGTTTACAATGTCACCTGAAAGTGAGAACAGATATTCACATGGCAATTTTGTAGCTGGCATTGCAAGGTATTTACCTGCCAGATATGCTAAACATTCATATGCCCCTTCATGCTTCGGCCACCATTCCAGAGCACGTGTCCATGCTGATGATGGGTTTTGCTCGATAACAATCCAAAGCAGCGTGGACCGATGCATGTTCATTTTCATCATATGAGTCAGATGCTACCAGCAGAAGGTTGATTTTCTGTTTTGGTGGTTCGGGTTCTGTAGTTTCCATATCGGACATATGAATGTTGCTCTTTTAACTCTTCTGAAAGCAAGCTCCACACCCTGTCCCTCTCAGATTTTGGAAGGCACTTCAGATTCGAAACCTTGGGTTGAGTGCTGTAGCTATCTTTAGAAATCTCACATTGGTACCTTCTTTGCATTTTGTCAAATCTGCAGTGAAGTGTTCTTAAAATGAACGTGTGCTGGGTCATCATCCGAGACTGCTACAACATGAAATATATGGCAGAATGCAGGTAAAATAGAGTAGGAGACATACAATTCTCCCCCAAGGAGTTCAGTCACAAATGTAATTAATGTATTTTTTTCTAACGAGCATCATCAGCATGGAAGCATGTCCTCTGGAATGGTGGCCAAAGCATGAATTGGCATATGAATGCTTAGCATATCTGGCACGTAAATATCTTGCCGGCTACAAAATCACCACACAAACGCCTGTTCTCACTTTCAGCTGACGTAAATAAGAAGTGGGCAGCATTATCTCCTGTAAATGTAAACAAACTTGTTTGTCTTAGCGATTGGCTGAATAAGAAGTAGAACTGAGTGGAGGCTCTAAAGGCTCTAAAAGGCTCTAAAGTTTTACATTGTTTTGTTTTGGAGTGCAGTTATGTAACAAAAAATATCTATCTTTGTAAACTGCACTTTCACAATAGAGAGATTGCACTACAATCTCTACAGAAATACTATTTCTTTTGTTTATCGTTTGTACAGTGCAAATATTTGTAATAAAAATAATATAAAGTGAGCACTGTACACTTTGTATTCTGTGTTGTAATTGAAATCAATATATTTGAAAAGGTAGAAAAACATTAAAAATATTTAGTAAATTTCAATTCTATTGTTTAACAGTGCGATTAAAACTGCGATTAATCGTGATTAATTTTTTAATCATGATTAATTTTTTTGAGTTAATCTCATGAGTTAGCTGGAATTAATTGACGTCCCTATTTAATATGAAAGTACTTCCTGACAAGAAAAAGAGAATATTTGAACTTACACATAGATGTCATCGCGTTCCATAATACTACTCAAATTTTCATCCATAGCAAATATTCTGTGGAACCTATGATTGTATATATCAGTAACTATCATCTAAAAGGAAATAAAAAATTAAGTCACTCTCTTAAATTGGTTTAAAAACAATGAAAATATTTAACATTGGGCTATGTATAAATGATTACCTCAGCAATGTCTTACCTTATCTGCAGCAACACCAGACAATGTTGACAGTGCTGTGCAAAGGTCCAGTATATTTCCAATTTTCGGAACAACTACTTTGTACTAAAAAACAAAATGTGATAATTTCTCACTCTTAAAGGACTGAAGCCACCTGAGAAAAGCTGTCATATGTCCACAGTTTGTGTACACCCTTAATGTGTGTCTTTAAATTCTTATTTAGATTCTCAGTGTGCATGGAATTTACAACCTACCATGTAACATATTTACTCATTACATTTATTTGTTAGTACAAATACATTTTGGACATCCACAGTTTTAATTGTCTAAAAGTGAACATACTGAATATTACATATAATATTCTACAATGTGCTATTTCACGTGAGGCCACTTCTACTTTTCCATACAAAAAACCAACCATGCAATGTATTTATCCACAGGGTAATAATTTTCAGAAACACTTATACCCCATTTTCAAAAGTGACTTAGGCCTGGTCTATTCTACAAAGTTAGGTCAAAGTAATCCGCCTTGCCTTGACGTATTTATGCATGAGTCTACACTCAAATTTGTCTCTGGCAAACATAAGCAGCCTGTTATGGTGACACAGTTGAACCACCTCCCCAAATGACTTTGAGCCATAGTCATAAGAACAACCATACTGGCTCAGACCAAAGGTCCATGTAGCCCAGTATCCTGTCTTCCGACAGTGGCCAATGCCAGGTGTCCAAGAGGGAATGAACAGAACAGGTAATCATCAAGTGATCCATTCCCTGTCGCCTATTCCCATTTTCTGGCAAACCGAGGCTAGGGACGCCATTAACGTTTAGTCGATCTACTAAGGTCAATACAGTGTAAGTGCAGACACCGCATGACTTATGTCAACTCTAACAGTTCTCCAGCAGCTGTTCAATAAAGCTTTTCCCTGCAACAGTGACTGGTCACAATTGTGAATTCCACTGCCCCGGAATTGTCACAGACCAGAAAACAACCCTCTTTAAAACTCCTGTGTATTTCTGAAATGCCTTTTCCTCACTGCCCACTTTGGCAAGCACACCTAGCAGCTCTCCCTTGTGTGCAGCTGTCTAACCGACCACATCAGCTCTATGTACTAGACGTGCTCCTGCCTAGAGATATAGGAGATATTGGATCTCCTGTGCCTGTGGGGAGAAGAAGCTGTGCATGCACAGCTACAGACCAGTCATACGAATGTGGACATCGACAAGCAGATTGCACAGGGGTTGCAGGAGAAGGGGTACAAAAGGGATCAGTAACAGTGCTGCATGAAAACAAAGGAACTGTGACAGGCATACAAAGCCAAGGAGGCTAGCAATCAATCTGGTGCTGAGAGACAGACTTGATGCTTTTACAAAATGCTGCATGACACTCACCACAGCACCCCACAGACACTGTGGACACCTAGGAGGAGTCTGGACAGAGACCCTTGCAGTAGACAGGGGGATGGGAACCCAGTGAGGGGGTGAGGGTGTCCAGCTATGCCACAAGCCAGGACCTATTCAAGACTCCACCACAGCCTAGACAGTCCCAACAGCTATGCATGGGTGAGCCCGATGAAGGGGAAGGAATCTTGTTTAAGTGCGTGCATGCGTTTTTCCTTACAATGTTTAAATGTAAAGAGGTGCCCAGCCCAACTCTTAAGTTAATAGGACACAGGTATCGATTTTTCGTTGTTTTACTTGTACGAGAAACAGTAGCGGTGCAATGAACAGAAATAGTGTTATCTGCTTTTCATATCCCGGTAGGGTAAGGTTGGGGGGACATACAGAGCAATTTTGTTTATATACACAGGAATGTCCCTTGTATCCTCCTGAGAGAGCCTGATGAAACTTTCATGGAGATATGCAGCAATCCTCCCCTGAAGGTTTCTAGAGATGGCAGCATTATTTCTTCTTCTGCAATAGGCCATTCACCCACACAAGTCCACAATGACTTCGGCAGACACCACTACAGTAAACAGGCTAGTGGCATACAGGTCCGGCAGCTTTGGGATGCCAGCCGCAGCTGTGCTCTCTGTGCCTTTGTTATCCTCAGAAGTGACATATCAGCGAAAATCACCACTGCCTTTTGAAAAAAGTGCCTGTACTCAGTGCCATTGACCTGTACTTGTATCCATGGCAACAGGGGCCAACATTTCATTTTTTCATGCAACAACAAATCTTATTTCCCTCTTGCTCCATTCCCCGACTCCGGCTCCCGTGGGCCCTTCTCATCATGGTGGGGGCTAGAGAGCAGTGTTAAGAAGAGTCGAGCCAAAGCTGAAGTGCGAACAAGCATGTCTTATTAAAATTTTTATAGGAATAAGGGAAGGGAGTTTTGAAACATATCTTTCTGTTGTGACTGTAAATAGAATGATTCATCTGTCTGGTTTATCTGTAGCTGCTGCTGTTGTGGTCTTGAACAGTGCACCTTCCACAGCTACGGAACGCATGACCCTGATGACGAGGAGAAAGAAGAGGACCAGGGAGAACATAAGAACGGACGTACTGCGTCAGACCAAAGGTCCATCTAGCCCAGTATCCGGTCTTCCGACAGTGGCCAATGCCAGGTGTTTCAGAGGGAATGAGCAGAATAGGTAACCATCAAGTGATCCATCTGCTGTCGACCATTCCCAGCTTCAGGCAAACAGAAGCTAGGGACACAATCGCTGCCCATCCTGGCTAATAACTATTGATGGACCTATCCTCCATGAATTTATCTAGTTCTTTTTTGAACCCTGTTATAGTCTTGGCCTTCGTAACATCCTCTGGCAAAAAGTTCCACAGGTTGATTGTGCATTGTGTGAAAAAATACTTATTTTTGTTTGTTTTAAACCTGCTGCCTATTAATCTCATTTGGTGACCCCAAGTTCTTGTATTATGAGAGAGTAAATAACACTTATTTACTTTCTCCACACCCATCACGATTTTATAGATCTCTATCATACCCCCCCCAGTTGTCTTTTCCAAGCTGAAAAGTCCCAGTCTTATTAATCTCTCCTCATACGAAAGCTGTTCCATCCCCCTAATCATTTTTGTTGTCCTATTCTGAACTTTTTCCAATTCTAGTATATCTTTTTGAGATAGGGCGACCACATCTGCACGCAGCATTCAAGATGTGGGTGTACCATGGATTTATGTAGGGCAATATGATATTTTGTTGTATTATCCCTTTCTTAATGATTCCCAATATTCTGTTAGCTTTATTGACTTGCCACTCCATATTGAGTGGATGTTTTCAGAGAACTATCAACATTAACTCCAAGATCTCTTTCTTGAGTGGTAACAGCTAATTTAGACGCTATTTTATATGTATAGTTGGGATTATGTTTTCCGAAGTGCGTTACTTCGCATTTATCAACATCGAATTTCATCTGCCATTTTGTTGCTCAGTCACCCAGTTTTGTGAGATCCCTTTGTAACTCTTCGCAGTCTGCTTTGGACTTAACTATCTTGAGTAGCTTTGTATCATCTGCAGATTTTGCCACCTCACTGTTCTCAGTACAGACCCCTAGGGGACACCACTATTTACCTTTCTCTATTCTGAGAACTGACTTTTTATTCCTACCCTTTGTTTCCTTTCTTTTACCCAGTTAACGATCCGTGAGAGGACCTTCCCTCTTATCCCATGACAGCTTACTTTGCTTAGGAGCCTTTGATGAGGGACCTTGTCAAAGGCTTTCTGAAAATCTAAGTACATTATATCCACTGGATTACTCTTGTCCTCATGCTTGTGGACACCCTCAAAGAATTCTAGTAGATTCATGTTCAGTGAGCTTCTGCAAGCGAGTGCTGCACTGGACCATGAACAAAGGGCCTGGGGAGTCAATATAGCAGACAGCATGGAGGATAAAAGAGCAGACAAGAGAAAGGGCCAGGAGTCCCAGCAGAAAAAAGAGAGGGAGATGCACAAGGATATAATGGGTCTTTTTTGTCACCAAATACAAATGCTGTATACTCTTGTTGACCTACAGGTTCAACAATCATGGACTTGCCACCCCCTTTGCAGTCAGTGGAGAACTCCATTTTAGCACTTTCCTATACTCTCCAACATTCCACATGGCATCAGGGGCCACATCTGTACTCATACCACTCAATGGAAGAGGACGGTAAGGACAACCACAGGTCCACATACATTGATTTATGAGAGCCACACTTGGTGTTATGTGTAACCAAAATGGACTGAAATGGACAGGAATGTTTTCTGCCTTTCTAATTTTAAAGTTCTGTTAATTTATGCTAGAAGTTTGTATTATACTGTCTTTTTATTATTTGCACATTTTTTGCACTGTTTTTGCCATGTAGTAGATTTGTTTTTTGAAAATAACTCATCTTTATTAAATTCACAACACATACTGAAGAATACAAAGCAGAACTCAAAGCACCCACTACTTGTAATTGTACATGACCACAGAACTCAGATTCAGTTTAACACACAATGTTATTATTATTAAATGTACAGCAAGCACTGCATAATTTATATGTTTAGCAAAAAACAGTGTAATATTTATAAATGTACAACTCACACTACAAAATTCCTAACAGCCCTCAGAAACCTCAGGGCCAGAGCACAACCCAGCACAGCACCTTACTGTGGCTGACCATTGAAGAAGTCTTCCAAGGTCTCCCTCAACTGCATATCTCCATGTTGAGCTCTTGTAATGGCTCTTGTGTCTGGCTGTTGAAACTCAGAAGGCAGCCACTCAAGCGCCACCTTGGCAGCAACTTTTCCACCGTTGACTCACAGATATTTCCCAAGACACAACAGGCAGCTATAACCATTGGGATATATTTCTGACTTGGATCCAATCTTGTGAGTAGATACCACCAGCATCCTTTCAATCTAAAAGCACATTCAATCGTCATTCTGCATCTGGTGAGCTGGTAGTTGCATCTTTCCTTGATGCTGTCAAGAAGCCATCCACTGGCCACCATGAGCCAGAGGAGCAAGGCGTACACCTGATTTGTATTTCTGTATCACCAATGGCAACCTGCCAGTTGGGAAAGAATGTCTTTGCTTGCAGCTTTCTGAACGGTCCTATGTTCTTAAAGATGCGAGAATCATGCACCTTTCCATATCAGCACACACTGATGGCAGTGAAGTGTCCCCAGTAATCCACCAAGGCGTGCATAACCACAGAAAAGAAGCCCTTTCTACTGATGTACTCTGTGGCAAGGAGGTCTGGTGCCAAAATAGGGATGTGTGCACCGTATATCACCTCATTGCAGTTTGGGAACACCACTGCTACAAATCCATCCACTATTTCCTACACATTGTAGAATCACAGACCTGCATAGTAGAATATGATTACTGGCCCTAAACACTTGCATGGCAATGGCCCCCATTTGGGATTTTCCAACTCCAAAAAGACTTCTCACTCACTGGTAGCACAAGCTTCCACAGTGTGATTACCACTCACTTCTCCACTGTCAGTGCAGCTCTCATTCTGGTGTCCCTGCAATGGAGGACTGGGGACAGCTCAGCACACAGATCCCAGAATGTGACGTTTTGCATCCAAAACTTCTGCAGCCACTGCTCACCATCTCAAGGCTACATTACGATCCCATCAGTCAATGTTCACTTCTCAGGTCCAGAAGCAGTGCTCCACCATCTGCTGCTGCTCCCTGAGCACCACCAATAATCTTAAATTTTTTTTTTGCTATATTCCTCAGCAATCTGTCCTCCCAGAAATTGTCATGTCTCCTGTTGTTGCAGTTCTTCCTGAGAGTCTGCAAATACTGGAGGAGTGTGCCTCCTGTATTTGCGATATTCATGACAATAGTGCACAGCTATGTGGGTTCATGCTTCTGTCAGAGATGGCAGAGAGCAAAAAGTGCCGTGTGGGTTTGTGGGATTTAAAAAAAATTGCATGAAAATTATGGGATACGGATGGCATTACGGGATGGAGAAAGTTGAATGATGGAAACTTGACCCATAGCTCCCGCTCAACCCTGGCATCAGGGCCGGCTCCAGGCACCAACTTCTCAAGCAGGTGCTTGGGGCGGCCGCTCTGGAGAGGGGCGGCAGGTCCAGGTATTCGGCGGCAATTTGGCAGACGGTCCCTCACTCCGCCTGGGAGCGAAGGACCTCCCGCCGAATTGCCGCCGCAGATCGTGATCGCGGCTTTTTTTAGATTGCGACGGCGGCTTTTTTTTTTTGGGGGGGGGGGGGTGGTTTTGGCTGCTTGGGGCGGCCAAAACCCTGGAGCCGGCCCTGCCTGGCATGATTCATTTCTACCCCACAATGCATTGCAAACATTTCCCAATAGGTATTGCACTGGACAGTAGAGCAGAGCACACTGGGATACCTACCGGAAGCACACCACACTTTGCATCAACACAAGCACTCTTGGTGAACATGCACAGCGCCAATTCAAGCAGGCAAGTACACACATGCCTAAACAATATACTATCTGCGGTGACTGTATGCTGACAGAATTTGCATTGACCGAACAAAGTTTGTAGTGTAGACATGGCCTCAGACACTTAGCTAAAATACCACTGAAGGTCAGTGGGACTGACACTCCTAACTCTTTTTGGAAAATGGAACTGAGGGACTTGAAAATTTTGCTAACTGTTCATTTCTTTTTCTTTGCTTTCCAAGATATTTGTCTGGATTTTTTTTTTTTTTTTTAATTCCATTAAGGAAAAAGAAGTCAAGTCAAGCATGGTCACATGGTGTTACCAACTATTATAAAAACTGAAGTTAGACATTCTAGATACTACTCAGGAAAATCTGGTAGGAACAAGCAGGTGAAACTTTTCTTTAACTATGGTAAGAACTCCAAAGATGATCTATTATTTTTAATTCTAGGCAATCTCTCTCACTGTAGGCTTGCCAGTGCTTTTTCAAAGACTAAAATGCAACTTTTTAACTTGCCAAATGGATTGCTGTTTTGTGTGAAGACAGACACTATTTTGCAGCACTTTCACCCTGGGGAAGTGATTGAACTCTGGGTTCCTGCATGGAGATTCAGAACACTGATCAGATGACCAAAATAAAGATTTAACATTAAGCTCTTCAGGATTAATTGTGTCCAGAAACATATCTGTCTGTGCACGCATACAGTCTGTCCCAAGAGAATGTCAGACAGACACTTCTTAGCACTTATGTGCAAAGAAACGCAAGAGTAATTAGAAATAGACAATTATCTCATGAGTTAATTTCCAAATTAAAAAAAATGTCATGTCGAACCATGAGGGCTCAACCTGTCTATTCAGCTTCTCCTGAAAGTCACACTATTACCTTAACCTCAACTCAACTCCTGCTTTTTCCTCCCTCTCTGTTACTCAGTCATGTAACTGCTATCTTCGACTCCTCTTTCCCTTGACCCATCCAACCAGATTATGTTCAAACCTGACATTTCCCCCTCCACAAGCCAACCTCCTTTCTGCTCCTGCAGCCGAAACTCTCATCAGGTTCTTGTCTCCCACCTCACTTACTATACTTGTCTCCTTTCTGGCCTCCTTAACATGCACATTGTTCCCTTCAGTCCAAAAAACATTGCTGCTAAAGTAACTCAGTTCTGGCCTTGTCACTCTCCTCTCCCATCTTCCACTGTTCCCTCTCCTCTATTACACCAAGTTCAAGTATTCAAGGGCTTTCACAACTCAGCCCCTTCCTACTTAACCCCCCTTACATATCTCCTACAATCTCTTCCACCAACTACAGTCTGTGAATCTCAATGTCTGCTTCTCCCACAATAGTCTATATGCTTTGTTCCAAGTCACTCCTTTCACATGTAATTCGCTCTTCAATTGGCCCAAAAGACCACCCTTTCCACATTCAAATATTTTCTGAAGATCCTTCAGTAATGACTACAAAATATTTGTTGACTAATAATGGAAAGTTGAGGACAACTGGGCATAGTTTACATATTTAATAAAAATCTGTATCAAGATCTCACTTTACTAGTGCGTTGTACTCCACCAAACTTTTGATGTTTGTCATTTTAGACTTGGGGCAGGGTCTGTGCATTTCTTTATGTTTGCATAGCAAGTAGCTTATTTTGACAATATTGGAAACAAACTAACAATAAGAAGAAGAAGAAGAAGAAGAAGAAGAAGAAGAAGAAAGAGCACAGCCTGGATTTAAAAGGTTAGGGAAAATTTATTATAATATAGTAGTAAAATAAATGATCAATATCTTCCTTGAAATTGAGTAGAGTTAAAGTAAAATGTGTCTTTTACAAAGTTTCCTCATTAATAAGTAACATAGAGATGAAAGTCAAAAAACCGTACCATCCTGACAAATTTAATTTGTCAGATTTATTGTCTGTTCTGTCAAGTATTAAAAATATGAACACAAAAAAAAGATTTTAAACACCACAGACAATGTTTTACGTAAACAAAAATATTTCTTACCTGCATAGGTTTAGTAAGTGGATCCATTCTAACTAAATAAACTTCCAAAGTGCGATCTTTTTTCATGGGTAATGGAAGTGTCAAGTAACAAAAGGGATCAAAGGTTACAGAAATCTTAGCGCATTCAGGACAAACAAGGGTGGATTTAAAAAGACCATGAAATATATCTACAATGATGGAATCATTTCTTTTTAAATGGTTCTCCCAGGCTTCTTCAGCAACCACCTACAATTAAAACAGAACTTGGGTTATAGCAAAAAACACTAACGAAATGCATGTTATATATTACTGATACAAGTAGTTAATATGAGACTCTCCATTACATGGGTTAAATGTACAAAAAAAGTCTGACCCCAAGGACTGCACAAGGGTTCACAAAAGCAATGACACCTCAATTGTTAAGGGATTGTGTGAGTTAAACACTTGTTAGGATAGAGACTAAGAAATCAGCTCCAATGGATGTTTGATTTATTTGGCTAAGTAATTGGACAAAAAGGAAGTTTAAGACAAAAATCCCCATCTGAAGTAGCCCAGCGTTAGTGAGTGTGTATAATGATGCTCTGTAGACAAGCAACTTAGAGCTGTGGAGTTTCCCCAATTAGGGGTATAGATGAGAGAGGCAGGACACAGGAACTAACAAGTATGCTGAAAGTAGGAGATTGCAAGACCAAGTGCAAGACCAGGGGTCCAAAATGCAGCTGATTTTCTTGGTGTGTTGGAATTACTTGTGTATAGCCTTGATGCTGTTTTTGCTATCTCTTTTAAAAGGAAACAGGAATTGTGTACGTGTAAATAAATGAGACTAGAAAATATCTCGAGTCTTTGTATCACTAAATTCTCTTCCACTGAAAAGATGACCCACAAAGCAGCCCCCAAAGATGTTAATGCTTGACAAAGGGGCAACAATATCTTACAACATACTGTAGCATTAAGTAATGAACTAAAATACAAAGAAAACCAATACTAAGAACATTACCTTGTCCGGCCTTCCATCTGCATCCTTTAATTGAATATAAGGCTTTTTCCTAATCCGATTCAAATCCTCATGTAAACCATCTAAGAGAAAAGCTAGAAGTTCTTGACAGTCTTGTTGCTGATATCCAGAAAACTGAGGTGCAAATCGTCCCACTTGTGTCTAGAGAGCACATATGAGAATTTTCAGTTTGGGAAATGTAATGTTTGATTTTGTGTAAACTAACAAATAGCAAGGGGCTACCAGCATGTCACAATACTTAGAAATCAATGATTGCATCTGGTACCTTGTGTTTTCAGGAATGGCTGCCACTCAGGCGCCATAGCAAGGAATATTACATAGCTGAACATGCTTGCACAGGAGCTATGGGAGGAGCTCTTGGAGAGGAAGAATGTTTTTGTGGTTAAAAACACTGGACTGGTACTCAGGAGGTCTGGGTTCTATTCCCAGCTATACTACAGATTACTCCTTGGACTAGTCACTTACCATCTCTGTGACTCAGTATCCCCATTTGCAAAGGGGTGCATTGTAAGGATAAATTCTTAAATGTTTGTGAGACATTCAGATACCATATGGAAAGTGCCGTAGTAGTAAACACTATAATGACAAAATAGGAGTACAGGCTGCTATGTTAGTACAAGAGAAGCAGACTAAAGCTTGTCAAACCAGTTGAATGAGGAAGAAGGGTCAATCAGGATATTTTTTTCAGAAATGATTTGGGGCTGGCAAACAATGGCAGATCAATTACTGCTAATGAGGGAGCCTGGAGCCACAGTGACACCCCAAAAGTAGGAAAGTGGTGGTATGGCCAGCAAAGGGGCATATCCAGGAGGGAAAGAGGAAGTAGAGATGATGCAATGATTCAGCTCCTCCTCCCCATAGCCTCTACAGGCAGGGCACTAATGGAGCTCTAGCCACAGTTTAATGCTGCCCTCCCTGGGTAAACATTATTTGCTTTCTGGGTGGTGAAATGGCCCCAGGGTGCAATGACCTACTACTGCTGACGAAAGCTATCACCAGTAGGGGGTTAATCTAGTGCAGTAAAAGTGAAAGAAAAAAAAAAAACCACCTCTTCCAATCCCCCACAAATGTAAACGATAGAATAGAAAAAAAAGACTATAATTGACAGACATATGCAAGAGACAAAACACTGTTAGAAGAGAATTATAAGGTAAAAATATTAATGAAAGGAAAAAAGCATGGAAGCAGAAAAATATATGGTAGAGAAGTAACTGATCAGAAGACAATGAAAACTGATAACTAAAAACATTAGCATGCTTATTAAAAATAACCAAAAGCTAACAAAGATTGGGATATAAAAATACAATATCAAATTAAAGAAAGAGGAAATTATAGCACTGTAACATGAATCAGTGGTGTCCTATTTAAAATACTATGTACAGTCCACATTACTTTTTAAAGAGAAGCATAATACAGGAAATATATCGTACATGGTCTTAAGTTTCTAAATTATTCAAATAGCATAGAGAAAAAGTCTTATTCGTGTAAAAGAGCCCAGGAAATTTACATAAAATTCTGACTAGATTATAGAAAAAACATCTTGAGACCATGTTAAAGTCAAGATCAAACAGCCCCAAAATTAATCAAGGGAAAGATGTAGCACTACAGAAATGATGCTAGAACTAACATATTTTGAATTAAAATATATATAATGAATTCAAAGCACAGCAAAAAGAATAACTAGGGGCTTTTTTTGTTTTTTTGCTTAAGAAATTAATTAGTTGACTGAAAAATTATGATGTATACAGAGATATTGTAGCTGTGTTGGTCCCAGGATATTAGAGAGACAAGGTGGGTCAGATGATATTGGAACAACTTATGTTGGTGAGAGGGAGAATTTTCAAAAGCTTGTCTCTCTCACCAACAGAAGTTGGTCCAATAAAAGATATTACCTCACCTACCTTGCTGCTCTAAATTGTTAAGAGGAAGTCAACTGAATGGACTGCTAGCTCACTGTTTCAAAACTCAATTTTAAAAATTATTTGTAGGGCTGTCAAGCAATTAAAAAAAGTATCTCTATTAATCTCATTGTTAAATAATAATAGAATACCATTTATTTAAATATTTTTGGATGTTTTCTACATTTTCAAATATATTATTTCAATTACAACACAGAATACAAAGTGTACAGTGCTCACTTAATATTTATTTTTTATTACAAATGTTTGCACTGTAAAAAAAACAAAAGAAACAGTATTTCACCTAATACAGGGGTGGGCAAACTACGGCCCGCAGGCTGGATCCGGCCTATCAGGGCTTTGGATCCAGCCTGCGGGATTGCCACCCCTGTGGTGCTGCGGGGCTAAGGCAGGCTCCCTGCCGGAAGCAGCTGGCACCACGGCCCTGCGGCGGGGGGGGGGGGGGGGGGGGGGCGCAGAGGCTCTGTGCGCTGCCCTCACCTGCAGGCACCGCCCTCCCGCAGCTCCCACTGGCTGGGACTGGGTATCCACGAGCCTGCCTTAGCCCCGCTGCGCACAGCTGCCACCTCGGAGCTGCTCAAGGTAAGCGCCACCAGCCTGGAGCGTGCACCCTGAATCCTTCTTGCACCCCAACCCCATGCCCTGAGCCCCCTGCCGCACCTCTCCTACACCGAGCACCTGCTGCATTCCTCTTGCACCTCAACCTCCTGTCCTGAGCCCCCTCCCGCACTCCGCACCCCTCCCTGCACCCCAACCCCCTGCCCTGAGTCCCCCCCACACTCCTTACCCCAACCCCCGCTGAGCCCCCTCCCGCACTCCTTACCCCAACCCCCTGCTCTGATCCCCCTTGTACACCCTGCACCCCTCCTATGCCCCAACCCCTTGCCCTGAGCCCCTTCCTGCACACCACACTTCCTCCTGCAGCCCAACGCCCTGCCCCAGCCCTACATTCATGGTCCTGCATGCAATTTCCCCACCCAGATGTGGCCCTTGGGCCAAAAATTCAAGTACTGTTATGCAATCTCTTTATCATGAAAGTTGAACTTACAAACGTAGAATTATGTACCAAAAAAAGTGCATTCAAAAACAAAACAATGTAATGTTTTACAGCCTGCAAGTCCATTCAGTCCTATTTCTTGTTCAGCCAATCGCTCAGACAAACAAGTTTGTTTACATGTGCAGGAAATAATGCTGCCCACTTCTTGTTTACAATGTCACCTTAAAGTGAGAACAGGTGTTCGCATGGCACTGTTGTAGCCGGCGTCGCAAGATATTTACGTGCCACATGCGCTAAAGATTCATATGTCCCTTCATGCTTCAACCACCATTCCAGAGCACGTGTCCATGCTGATCACGAGTTCTGCTCGATAACTATCCAAAGCAGTGCCGACCGATGCAGGTTCATTTTCATTATCTGAGTCAGATGCCACCAGCAGAAGGTTGATTTTCTTTTTTGGTGGTTTGGGTTCTGTAGTTTCTGCATCAGAGTGTTGCTCTTTTAAGACTTCTGAAAGCATGCTCTACACCTCGTCCCTCTCAGATTTTGGAAGGCACTTCAGATTCTTAAACCTGGGCCAAGTGCTGTAGCTATCTTTAGAAATCTCACATTGGTACCTTCTTTGCATATTGTCAAATTTGCAATGAAAGTGTTCTTAAAATGAACATGTGCTGGGTCATGATCTGAGACTGCTATAACGTGAAATATATGGCAGAATGCGGATAAAACAGAGCAGGGGACATACAATTATCCCACAAGGAGTTCAGTCACAAATTTATTTAACACATTATTTTTTTAATGAGCACCATCAGCATGGAAGCCTGTCCTCTGGAACGGTGGCCGAAACATGAAGGGGCATACGAATGTTTAGCATATCTGGCATGTAAATACTTTGAAATGCTGTCTACAAAAGTGCCATGGAAAAGCCTGTTCTCACTTTCTGGTGACATTGTAAATAAGAAGAGGGCAGCATTATGTCCTGTAAATGTGAACAAACCTGTCTGTCTTAGCAATAGGCTGAACAATTAGGAGGACTGAGTGGACTTGTGGGCTCTGAAGTTCTACATTGTTTTGTTTTTGAGTGCAGTTATGTAACAAAAAAAAAATCTACATTTATAAGCTGCACTTTCATGACAAAAAGACTGCACTACAATACTTGTATGAGGTGAATTGAAAAATACTATTTCTTTTGTTTATCATTTTTATAGTGCAAATATTTGTAATCCAAAATAATGTACACTTTGATTTCAATTACAACACAGAATACAATATATATGAAAATGTAGAAAAACATCCAAAATATTTAATACATTTCAACTAGTATTCTATTGTTTAACAGTGTGATTAAAACTGCGATTAATCGCAATTAATTTTTTTAATCGTGATTAATTTTTTTGAGTTAATTGTGTGAGTTAACTGTGATTAATCAACAGCTTTAATTATTTGTTATATGTATTATAAGTTTCATATACTTCAGCTGCGAAAACAAATTCACTGTATACATTCAAACAAATTATAATTTAAGTAATACCAACCTTAAATGCTCTTGGTGTGACGTAGCTGTATTTTCCTGACCACATTTGCTTGATGAGCTCTGCATAAGCTTTTGCGATTTCACCTCGCATTCCTAAAGGATTGTCAAAATTTAGCTCGTCCTGATATTTGTCATTTAGGAAGTATTCTGTTAGTGGAGGGGTGTTGCTCAGACACTGTGAATGGAAATATTAAATACTTAAAATAAAAAGAAGGGTGATTTTAATTAGCTCTGCAAAAAATGCTCAATCTTTGTTCAAGTAGCCATTTTTCTGTAAGTCAAATATAATAAATATTTGCCTGTTAATAAATGAACTATAATACCTGCAGGAAAGAAATTACAACATTCTGTAGAAGCAGTAATTATGATAGGTATTGCAGCCATATGCAGTGTATTTGGGGGATCACGTTGTATTACATTTATGAATATTTTATGTATCATTGTGGGTGAGAGATTGTATGCAAATCCAAGGTGGGAGAGATAGCACAGCTCCCCTAGGAAGTAACAACAGTGGGGAGAGATTACGAAAGTCCCTGAGATTGTTAGCAGCTCCAGAGAAGTACTTCCCTCTAGAGTGGTTTGCATATATTGGGGTTAGGACAGTCCCAGAAGAAAGGCAAAGGTACAAAGGAAGAACTTGGCATATAACAGTTGAGTTTAAAGTATCAGGGGCTAGCTGTGTTAGTCTGTATCCACAAAAACAACAGGGAGTCCAGTGGCACCTTAAAGGCTAACAGATTTATTTGGGCATAAGCTTCCATGGGTAAAAAACCCACTTCTTCAGATTATGCCCAAATCCATCTGTTAGTCTTTGAGTTGAGTTTAAAGAGACTCAGGGCATTCTTTCCAACTGACATGAACTTTTGCCCAAGGGGGGAGCCAGGCCAAGCCCTTGCTGAAGGGTTGGAAGCTTAACTTGCCAAAGCCTTGGGCAATTTCTGGTATGTTTAGTGTGAGTGTAAGTCCTTTTATTTATTTATTTTCTATATGCTTTATGGCCTGAATAGATGTACTCTGCTGTGAAAGAGCTGTGTGGTAACTTACAACTGTTGGCATACACTGTTCACAGCCCTTGGAGAGAGAGCAGAGTTTAGGTGCTGTCTGTAGTCAAACTGGCTTGCTGGGGATATCAAAAGTGAACTGCAGGGGACTGTGACCTAAAATCCTTGTCTGGAGAGAGAAAGGACAGAGATTCCTGTCCAGGGAGATGAAGGCTAAAGGCCCTGAACCTGAACTGGCATTCCCAGAGCAGACCCATAAGCTTTTGAAAAGCTTCAAAAATAGACTCCAACAAGAAACTGCTGAACTTGAATTAATATGCAAATTAGACACTATCAATTTAGGCTTGAACAGAGACTGGGAATGGCTGAGCCATTACACACATTGAATCTATTTCCCCATGTTAAGTATTCTCACACCTCTTGTCAAACTGTCTGTAATGGGCTATCTTGATTATCACTACAAAAGTTTTTTCTCTTAATTAATTAGCCTCTTAGAGTTGGTAAGACAACTCCCACCTTTTCATGTTCTCTGTATGTGTATATATATCTCCTCACTATATGTTCCATTCTATGCATCCGATGAAGTGGGCTGTAGCCCACGAAAGCTTATGCTCAAATAAATTTGTTAGTCTCTAAGGTGCCACAAGTACTCCTGTTCTTTTTGTGGATACAGACTAACACGGCTGCTACTCTGATACCCAACACATGTAATGGTATTATACCAAGCCTAGTTGCTACAGTGGCAGTTGTCATTACTGGCACTACCATGAGGGATGGCTTTTGAAAAGTTTCACCGGCAGAATACAGTATACACTTCAAATGCCCCAAGAACAAGCCATAATAGAGATTAAATATTGTGTTTCAAAGTTGAGAGTCTAACTTCCACCAACCATGGGAAAAGACACTGTTTACAAGTATTTACTACAGCTTGTTTAAGAACTTGGAAGACTAAAACTGGCTTCTCCTGGCCGAAGCATCAAGGTTACAGGAGTGATAAGAAAATATGATTATTTACGTGGATGGACATGTCAAAATATCAAATACTAGTACAGTAACAGCAATGGACTGATATTCTATCTTTTCCTGACAGAGCCAATAAAATTCAAACCTAAAGACAATTTCTCATCTAACAACATTCAGTGAAAAGTGAAGTGACCTTTCTCAGTAATTCTCAGTGGGTCGTTAGATCAGCTTCCTTAAATTTTGAGAGAGACTAAATATTTTTATGAAAATGTTTCTCTCTTGAAGAGATTATAGACAGAGTTAAATCAGCAGGACTTCAGACGTCAAATTCAGATGTGTACTGCAGATAATTAGGAGGAAGCCTACCATCCACTTGTCCCATTTGACCTGATGAGAAGATTATGCACTGGGGAACATTTCTGCTTGGGGCCTCCCAAATATCTGTGAGGGCCCAGTAGCGAGGTTGAAGCAGATGGGGGTGGTTGTCTGTGCTTATAGCCCCTGCTTCCCTTCTTAAACAGGTCCTGGCATAGCCAAGACCCGGACTGGTTGTTGAGGTCTGAAGTGCTTCCTTGAAGGTACTGGGACATAGAGGCCCATCCATCTGCTCTGAGAAGAGGGAAACTCCCTCCAACCGAAGGTCCAGAAGGGACTGTTGAACCTCCAGTGGTAGGCCTGAGGACTGGCACCAAGAGCACCTTTGCATGACTACTGCTGATGCAATAGCTCTGGCAGCTGCATCCACGGTGTCAAGGGCAGGGAAGCCCTAGCTATAGCTTTCCCTTCCTCCACCAGAGCGGAGAATTTCTGTTTGGACTCCTGGGGCAGCGAGTCCTTAAGTTTTGAAATGGATCCCAGACGTTAAAGTCATACCTCCTTAGCAACGTCTGCTGGTTGGAGATGCGGAGGGGTAAATCGCAAGTAGAATAAACCTTTCTACCAAAAAGGTCTAGTTTCTTTGAGTCCTTCGCCTTGGGGGTCACACCTTGCAGCCCCTGCCTGTCTCTTTCATTGGCTGCAGAGACCACAAAGAGACCCAGGAGGGGGATGGGAATGGTGGGAACAAGTACTTCTTCTCTGCCCTCTGAAGTGGAGGGCAGAGAGGATGGCATCTGCTATAAGGTTTTGATTGAACCGATACTGGTCTCGTTGAGGGGTAGGGCCACCCTCGACGGGGCCACTCCAGCGAAGATGTTGACCAGGCTGTGGGAGGAGTCTTTCAGTATCTCCAATTCCAGCCCTAGGTTTGAGGCCACTCTCTTCAATAGATCCTGGTCAGCTTTGAAGTCATCCAGAGGTGTCGAGCCACCCATCCCTGACACTACCTTCTCTCAGGAGGAGGAGGTCTGCACTGGCAGGGAGCCCTCCGCCTCTTCTTCTGCACTGACCAGATCCTGCAGTTCCAGGTCTTGAGTATCTGTACCGGGCTCAGTACTGATTTCCAGGTTGGATGCTGGTCGGTGTGACAGAGGAGCCCTTCCCTCGGACACCACCGAGCAGAGTAGTGGTTTCCGTTAACAAAAGGCCAATTCAAGACTCTCAACCTGGGACATCTTAATATCTTTAAAGTCATCAGCAAAGTCAGTTACAGCAGAAGAATTACTAAAAAAAAGCATTGATTAAGGAAATAGTAACGAAAATTAGAACACTGAGCTTTTTTTGGTTAGGAACTCTGGCATACAGGACAGACTCCAAGATTTAATACGAGTTAGTCCAAAACTAGGTGTTTTAAGCTAACAATACTGCTGAATACATATTGCTGCTCCTGAAAGGGAAAACGGGTCATGATAGTGCAAATAACATGATGCTCACTTAAATTCTGTAGCTCTTGATGTCAACAGGCCCAAAGCTTATTGCAGCATCACAGGACAAACAAACCAACCCAAACAAACCCAAAAGCAAAATCTTTCAGCAAGGTTTACCTGTCTACACGGAGCTTTGGCAAATAAATAATCACACAGAATTTTATTTACCAATCCTGTGTTTCTTTAGAGGACTCAGTCCCAAGGATACAAGTAATCTGCCACCGTTGATACTCCCAAAATACCAAGTGTCATAGAAGAATCAAAGATTACTGTTTATCCCATGTTAATATCTCCACACCTCCAGAGGGGGGAAAAAACTTCTATGGAGAGCTACACGATTTTTTTTTTTTTTTTACACCTAGAAGAACCAAAGATTCTTCAGTCATTAACTGCTCAAAGCCAAGAAATAGTTAATACATGACTATGGCTAATGCATCTTTTTGCTCCTGAATGATAGAACTGGTAGCCTACCTGGACATTGGAGCCACAAATATTGAAGACATTTCTTACAGTCAGTGGCAGCAGATAGCTAATGGTAGAAGAGGCTCAGCCCTTCCAAATGTGAGCCCTGCTGCCCACCTGTACAGTCCAGATCAGCAGGCATAGCTCTGCCTCCTGTGGTGCCAGAGCCAGCTTGGCATTGAGCTGCCTGACTGCCCAGCAGCAGGACAAACCAGGAGAGTCCCCAGAGCACTGCAGCGGGACGAGATGAATCTGTGGGGCCCCATAGTGATGCTGCAGGCAGAGTCCATCTTGAGCACAACCAGTATGCAGCAAGCCAGCCCCATCCCTGGTACAGTTGCAATGACTCCGTCCCTGTGAGTGGAGCTGGGGTTAGTGCCAGCGAGGGAGAGAGGGATGGAGGAAGTGAGACGGAGGTGGAAGGGGACTGCAGAAGATGGAACCAGACACAGGCAGCTGTGGCCATTGGCATTGTTGTCCTCCCCACCCCGCCCCTTGGACCTCCACAATCCCCTTACCACAGAACCCCAAATAACTCTCTCCCCCACAGACTCCTACCCAACCCCCAAATAACCCATCTCCCCAGCCCCTGCTTAAACCCACCATCAATCCCCCTGATATCTCATCTCCAAACACAACCAACCTCTTTGCACCCTCAAAATAAACCCAAACCCCACAGAACCTCCTCCTGCCACAGCCCCCCACTGATCTCACCTCTCCACCATACCAACTCCCATCTCCCCAAATAAACCTACCCCATCGCACAACTCCCCAAATGCACCCATAAAGCATCACCCTGCCAACCCTCACCATCCCAAGTCCTATTTCCCAACAAACCCACCTCTTAAAACCTCCTCTATAGTCCCCCCCATCCCTCAAACCACTTCCCTGTCACAACCTCCCTCTTCTCCCCTGCTGCCCATCCATACTTACTCCCGCAGTGC